TGTTTTTCCTGCTTTAATGGGTTAATCCTGGGTCTTTTGTTTTTCCTATTTTAAGGGGTTAATCCTGTCAAGGAGGCAAGAAGGAGGTATTCTGGTGTGAATTGGTTATTTCCCACTTATCTTTATGGCCCCATTCAAGTGTTTCCTAGGATGCTCTTGTGGTCAGGCTTTGTTATTTTTTGTAACAACCTTTCAATTAGCCTGAGCGGCTGCTCTTAATTTCCCTCTCAACTGCTGCTTTTGCTTTGGGGTTTTGATTTCTATTTTTAAAGGGGAATGGCTGTTTTAAGTTTTCTGCATTGGTTTAGTGCAGCGGTTCTCAACCTGGGGGTCGCGACCCCTTTGGGGGTCGAATGGCCATTTCACAGGGGTTGCCAAAGCCCTCTCTTGCCCCCCCATACCTTCACTCACCCTCACCCTCTGCCTCTGTTGGATTGCCGTTCGCCGTTCGCTTACCCCGCCCACTCCCAATCTATTGCTGCCTCCTGAGTCCCAGCTGATGGCTACAGGGAAAAAACTTTAAATTCTTCCCATGGGGCTTCAAAGGGCCGCCCTACAGCTGATCAGTGTTAAAAGAAAACAAATGAATAGACCGGTGCCTGCAAAAATAGAAAAAACAGCCCCTTTCAGCTTCAGCATAGGTTAATTACCATAAGTTGATTTGATCAGTCTCCGGACTCTCAGCTGATTTGCTCTCAGCTGTTTTGCGGAGGGCTCTGTTGCTAGCTAGCTGCAAAGAGGTAAATTCCTGGAGCAGATTTTTTTCCCCCTAGCTATGCTGAAAAAGCAAAATTGAAAGTAAAGCAGGGTCTTTGCTGCAACGTGACAAAATGAGGCAGAGAGATTTCTTTTTCTTTTTCCTCACCAAAAAAGGTAGGTGCAAAACTGCAAACAATGGGAAATTTAGGGCAAAAGAGGAGATTCAAGATTTTAAAACATAAAAGAAAAAAAGCTCTATTTAACTAGGGAATTGTAATAATTGAGATACTATTAATTGTATATTGTGTTGAAAGCAGAAATGGTTAAGTTGTGGTTTGGAGGAATATATGGGGGAAATTATTTGGTTTATTATTATTGGTAAATATAACTAATTGATTTGTAAGAAATTGGATTGCATGGAAATAATTGGAATATTCATGTTCATACTGATTAATATACAAAAAAGATAGTTATATAACTAATTGATTTATATTAAAATGTTGAATTTGTATTAAACAACTGTATTACATAATTACATAATTAACATAATGTGAGGATGGATATAAAAATAGACAATGGGAAGGGGTATAATATAGAATAGAAGGGGAAAATTGAATTTGATTAAGTTTAGAGATGAGGATAAAGGGTAATATTGGTTTTTTTAAAAAAATAGATGAGGAATAAATATAGTAAAAAGGAAATATAGAAATTGTAAATTTAATTGAAATGTCTAAACACTGTGTTGGAAGAAATATCCTTCTGGGTTCTGCTCCAAGTGGGGAAAAAGACACTGGAAACATGGAGACTGCTTGGAAAGATGGTTTAATGGTCTTGAGTTCCTGAACAGAAAAGGGGCAGATACAGTAAATCCTCGGGTTTTTATGCTCTCTCTGCCTTTGCATTTCTTGGGGCCCCGAAAGAGTATCCTGATTGGTTGTCAGACTCCCAGTGGGTGGGGGTCTTAGCTAGCCTTGCTGGCTGATGGTCACATGTGCTTCCCAGGTCACGTGTGGTGAGTTTCGGTTGCTAGATGGGGCCCATTGTGTTAGTTTCTGTTGCTATTGTGTTGCAAATGTCCTTTGACAAAGGATTGACTTTCTGCCTCTGGCCCATTAACAAAGGGTGGGGGGCAGGAAGGTGGGAGTTGCTTTGTCTGTAAAATATGCTTCTCCATTTCTCGTCCAGGGAAATATAATATTCTGCCTTTTTAATATTTCCCAAAATATTTCATTCTTCTAGGAAAGGGGTGGGTGCTAACCTCCTACAACTGTTTAAATTTGTGAACCGGCCAAATACTCTGTTCAAAGAAAATACGTTGTATGTTTGTATGTGTGTTTCTAATTATTGCTATTTATTGCTATTTGTTCTCTTTTATTCTTTAAAGTTTAACAATTCATTCTTTATCTTAATATCTTTATATTTGTTTAGGGTTGGCTTTCTTCCCTTTCATCTTTTTTATTGTACAGCAATCTTTCTCCTCAAACCTACCACCTCTCTCTTTTCTTTCCTTCTTACTTTCTCTTCCCCCCTCTTCTTTTTCCCCCTACTTCCTCTTCCTTTCTCCTTCTCCTCCTCTCTTCCTCCCTCTCTTACCCTCACTCCTACTCTAATTTCCCTTCCCTTCCTTCATCCCTCTCTATTGCTGTATCCTTTTATGCATATGGACTACTCAGAGGGCTGAAAAAGTTATTTTTGACTGGTCCTCACACTTTTGACCAGTCCTCAAACTTACTCACAATTTACGTTTTTGCCCTATCTTGTCACCATGGTGAAGAGAAGCAGTTGTGAATTGAGTGACACGGTTGTTAAGAATGCTACAATGGGCATAAATGATGACCAGTCATAACTGCGAAGACCGGTCAAAAGTGCGAGGACCTGTCAGAAATCACTTTTTTCAGCCCTCTGGGTAGTCCTTTTGTGCACAGGGACTACTCAGAGGGCTGAAAAAGTTATTTTTGACTAGTCCTCGCACTTTTGACCAGTCCTCGAATTTACGATTGTCCTCACATTTTACGTTTTTTGCCCTATCTTATCACCATGTTGAAGAGAAGCAGTTGTGAAATGAGTGACATGGTTGTTAAGAATGCTGCACAGGCATAAATGTGAGGATGGTCATAAGTGTGACGACCAGTCAAAAGTGCGGGGACCAGTCAGAAATGACTTTTTTCAGCCCTCTGAGTAGTCCCTATACATATAGCCATGGCCACCCAGTCACATGACCAGCTAGCCACGCCCATAAAATAAGCCACGCCCACAGAACCGGTAGTAAAAAAATTTAGAACCCACCCCTGGTTGGGGGCCACCACAACATGAGGAACTGTATTAAAGGGTCACGGCATTAGGAAGGTTGAGAACCACTGGTTTAGTGGTTCCTGGCACTGTCCTTTTGGGGTGTACTTCCCTCACTCTTTTTGAAAGCCTCTAGTGATGGAGCACCCACAACTTCTGAAGGCTGAAAGCTATTCCATTGGTTGATTGGTCTCACTCTTAGGAAATTTCTCCTTAGTCCTAGGTTTGGTTAGTTTCCATCCATTGTTTCTTGTTGTGCCTTTTGGTGCTTTGGAAAATAGATTGATCCCTTCAGTTTTGTAGGAGCCCCTGAAATATTGAAACAATGCTATTTTATTGTGAGTTGTGAGTGCTATTTTATTGTGAGTTGGGGAGATGTTTGGCAAAATTGATTAAAAGGAAAAAAGGGCATGGTTTGCTGTTTAAATCCTGTCAGCACTTATCTAGATAAAAAATGAGAGATCATTAAAAAGTATTGTAGAGCTGGGGTAATTTTTGCACTGTCAGTTTCAAACAATCTCAAAATGTCCAATGGAAAGAGCACATAAAAGAGGCATGGATGACTTTCCTACCTTTCTGTAGTTGACTAGGTTGTGCCAGTTTGAGGAAAGGTGGATGTCTCAGCTCTCTTCTCCCTGAGATCCTTTGCTTTTTGCACCCTGGTGCCTCCATCTTTCCGTCTTAATGTAGCTGCTTAATGATTTCTGCTGCCATTGCCTGTCAGTCATGGATGTTTACCTGATGTTTTTCCCACATAACCCTAGCATGTGAGACAGGTAAGAATTTCATAGGCTATGCCATCATTGAAGAATAACCCAAAATGTAGAGAAAAATAAAGTGAATAAAAATGAAATAAATGCAGTAGTATAAGGCATGTGACAAGGCAGTCAGCACCCCTTCTTTTTTAGAAGAACATCATTTTCACAAATGATTTATTTATTTTGTTAGATGTTTATCCTGGCTTTATTACTTTATAAGGAACTCAAGGTGAAGAACTTATCTAATATTCCTTCCTCCTCTTAGTTTCCCCACAACCACAATCTAAGAAGTGGTTTGGGCTGGGAGAGAGTGACTGGTCACTCAGCCATTTTTTAAAGCCTAAAATGGGACTAGAACTCAGAGTCTCTTGGTTTCTAGGCCAGAATCTTAACCACTAATTTGTTTAAAAAGGAGGAAGGAATGTCAAAATAACTTGTAAGAATTGCATGCGAAAATAGGGTTGGAGGAAACAAACTTGTAAAGCTGCAAACATCACAGATAACATTTCAGAATAATCTCCCAAAGAATGATGCTGAAGACGAAAGATTGTAGCAAATTACAATCTTAGATGGACGTGTTAGTAGGAAAGGAGACTAGAATGAGCAGTAATATTTTGCAAGATGCATAAAACCTGAAGTCAAAATGTTTGTTATTTATTTGCACAAGGTGAGCATTCTTTTTATTTGAAAACTACTCACTCTGGTGAGATGAGCAGCCGGGTGTGATAAGCAGTAGAGGGGAGGGGCAAGGCATGGCTAGGCATGGCAAGAAGAGGCCGGGCAAGATGAGGCACCCCTCGACATGAATGAAGTTGAGTTGGCCACGCCCACATGACACATGACCACCCAGCCACACCTAACCAGCCGGTCATTAGGGCAGAGAACCAGTTGTTAAATTATTTGAGTCCCACCACTGGTAAAAATATATGGGAACTGAAATACAAAACACCTTTAGGATACTAAAAATGGGCCATAAGACAAAGAATAGAGAAAACTAAAGTGCATTAGGGTCTCTGAGGGTCATATAGACGTATTACTCTAAATCAGTTTTTATTCTTGAAGAATGTTCAATTTGTCCATGTTATTGGTTGAACATGTTGAGCTAAATAATGCAAATATGAATGTATAACTAAATGCACAAATGCATCCACGCTCACAATTTGCACAGAAACATGTTTGTCCATGTAGATTTCTTCCCCTTGTGGTATTGGATTGAAAATAGCACCTTTTTCAAGGAGATAATGTTTCCTTCAGATGGCAGAGCTGACTGAAGGAATTCGATGGGCCTTTATAGACATGTTGGAAAATGAAAATGACTGGATGGATTTGGATACAAAAAGAAAAGCTGTTGAAAAGGTAAGGATGTTGAAATACAGTTGATACTATTATATATGAATGCATAGCAAGAAAAAGAACTGAAAATATGATTGGATGTTCTATGATTGGAAGGTCTATGATTTGCATCTTATACTTAGTTAAATCTTCTTTATAGTCATGGTAATTCTTTGATTCTTCATTTTGCATTTAAATAGAAAAAGTTAATAATTATATTTAAATAAATAGTTTTCCTCGGGAGAGAAATTATTAATGTAAGGCTTCAAGACTTCTCTTCTGACATTATTCAATGCCTGGAATTGATTGGAATTATTGGATTGCCCCTTATTGTACATCTGTAATTATAACACAGTCTTCAACTATTTTATTTGTTTATTATTTGTATACCTTATAAAAATATGGAAATGGTTTAAAATAAAATATATCTGGGTCATTGTATGTCTGATATATTACAATATTGCCAATACAGTCAAGTACAATTTCTACTGAATAGAACTTATTACCGTGCAATATGTTTGATTATATTAAAGAAGAATGCTTAACACTGTATAACTTAAGTAAAAAAATCAAATTTGAAATTTCAATTTAAGATGGTGTGGGGAATATTAAGGCTGAGGTTTACATTTAACATTTTTTTTGCATGGTTGGGGACCACTATGCAATAATGGGGGAGGACAAAGTAGGAAGTTTGTGTTCTTTAGGCTGGATGTTATTCTGTGTTAAAGCACACAGTACAGTTTTTAATGTTTTTCATTCAAACTGACATAAAATTATACCACCAATTTTCAGCAACTGTGGTTAAAAGTTCAATTCCCAAAGCCTCATGTTATCTATAATTTAAAAGTACCAACGTAATTGTCTCAAGTATTTTCAGTCAGAAATTACGGTGCACACACTGTAATTATTAGCTCATGAAATTTAATATATATACCAAACTTATAACTTTTGTTTTACCTTTTCTGATGCTTCAATAGTTCTTAAAACTATTCTCTTTTTTTCATGTTTTTTATTGATATGTTTTATATTTTGTAAAAATGGAATTTGTAGTAGTAGTTGTTCAATTCCTTCCAACCCTTTGTGACCTGAAGAAAATAATTTCCAGGATTGTCTGTTTGTAACTAAGTATTTTAATTTCTGTAAACTCATGTTTGTGCATCCTGAGATATCTAGCCACTTCTGTTTCTTTCATTCTTAATATTTTTAACAAACAATTATGCAATATTTTCATTGATATTAGTTACCATTTTTGCACTAAAACAGATGATAATTTCTTTTGTTGTCTAAAAATAGAATTTAATGGCTCTCATCTGCAATAAGAACAAGCCCATTCTAAGATCTGTATTATCTTCTTTCATCTGTATTTCTGTTAAAGTGGGAAGAAAATTCCAAAAAACAAATTTACTGTGCCTTATTTGACTCCTTCTTGCAACTATGATAAACTGATTTGTTGATATGGGAAACTTATTGACTCTGCTGTGGTCTTTTTCCACATGGGGCTTCTTTTATGTGAAGCAGCCTTCAAATACTTGATCTTCCAGGAAGCGCATATGTTGCCTAATAGCTTGAAGCCATTTTTTGATGTATAATGTTTTCAATATTTTGTGTGACATAAGGAAAATATGCAGCTATAAATGTCTATTCATAGATTTCTGGGGGCTTCTTGGAGACTTTATTTTATAATTAATCATTTATACTTTCAGGGAAAACTCATCCAAATGCTAAGCATAAGGTAATAAGACACTTTAAAAACACTTGAATAGTCAGAGGCAAAAGGGAAGAAAATGTCTCTTCTCCTTTTGTTTGATTGGATTGGAAGTGGCTTGCAAATATTTTTCCTGAGGGCACTCATAATACAGGCAGTATCTGAATCACTACCAAGTTGTGATGAAATAAAAACAGGTAGGGTTTAATTTTCTACAGTTCTTTTAAAAGAAAACTTCAGAGTTCTTAGATGAAAAACAGTAAATGTAATGCTTTTTAGCTGTGTTGGAAGAAATATCCTTCTGGGTTCAGTTCCAAGTGGGGAAAAAGACACTGGATTCATGGAGACTGTTTGGAAAGATGGTTTAATGATGGACAGTATCACATGGCTTGAGTTCCTGAGCAGAAAAGGGCAGAGATGCTGACAGTGCCTTGGTTTTATGTCCTCTCTGAGCTCCACCCTAGAGTTTCCTGTTCCTGTGTAAGAAATGCACTCTGATTGGTGGTCAGACTCCCAGGAGGCGGGGTCTTAGCTAACTTTGTAGGCTATCTGTTTCCCAGACTTGGTTATCTAATTTCCTGCGCCATTTTATTCTTTTTGAGTTAATATTATTCTGATTTTAAAAGTTCCGTCGTATTCTTTTTTTCCCCCAAAGTCAAGCAACTTGCAGACAAAGAAATCCTCCCCAAAAGTTCTCACAGCTGTTATCTGTAATGTTCACAATTTTCCAAAACAAAGACCAAGTTGCAATATTTCTTTTTACTCCTGAAGGTTTCTCTCTGCAATCCAAATTTCTGATTGTCTAATAAATATCCATTTTGTTTCAATCTACATTAACAATCTTACTTAGCTTCTCTTTTTCTTTTTAGCTTTAAAAATATCAAATCAGTTGTATAGTCCAGTCCGAATTTAAACAGCTCTTCTCACTTCTCTTTTCCTTTTTTTCTTTTATTTATACAACACTTCTGTTATAGGGCTTATTGTCCATTCTCTTTTGTTTTTCTTAAAAATTGAAAAAGAAAGGGGGGGAAAAGGATCTATTTATTTTTTTCCGATCCTTTAACCAATCTTGGGGCATTTTCTCTAGTTATTTAAAATTTTCCAAATTATTTCCAAATAATTTTGTTCAAAAGTCAATTTTCCATCGGGTTTTTGTCCCTTTAAGATTACACTTCAAAATCTTCTTTTCTCCCCTCCCCCCCACCGTGCTTATTAGCCGCTGTTTTATCGCTAGGGATCTTAAAGTTAATTTTTTTTCCTTATTGTTTCAACCATGGGTTGGCTGTCACTCACCCAGCTTCAAAAAACTCTGTTCCATTCATCACTCCTGCTCAATGCTTAATCTGGTTGCCTCAGCTTCGTGACAGCCACAATGGCTACCGTCCCCCGCTGCCGAGTCATAAAGAGTTTCCTCTGACCTTCGAGGAACTTGCCTATTCCTCTTGGTCTTCCGAGGTGCCTCTCCTTCCCCATCCCTACAGGATGGTTCTGGTCTGAAGACTCCTCGGCAGCAGTTTGTCAGTCTGGGTTTTCGGAGAGCTCATCAGAGCCTGCTAATTCCCCACTTGTCTCGCCGCGACGCTTCCAGTTTGAATCCCAACTCTTTCCAGAACTTGACTGTAAACTGGACTCCTCAATCTAAGATGATCCGGCAGGGTATTCTATGTAAGCAGTAGATTTGTTTGATTAACAGCTTTGCCAGTTTTTTCACGGAAGGCAATCCGGAGCAAGCAGTAAAGTGGGCTTGCTTGGAAAATAAGTCAATGACTGTCCAGATTATTGTGTTCCCCCCACTCTCTGGAAGTTTGACTATAAAATCCATTGCAATTTCCTCCCAAGGTTTGCTGGGGCTTGCCATTTGTTGAAGGTGTCCAGGGGGCTTTCCTGGCTTCATTTTCATGGCTGCACAGGTGGCACAGCTCTTTACATAATCTTCCACACCCACTTTCATTTTTGGTCACCAGAATTACCTTCTAGGGAGGTGCAAGGTTTTCAAAATCCCAAAGTGACCAGCCAGCTTTGAGTTGTGACTGCGCTGTAATACTTCCAGTCTTAAGCTCACAGGGACATATTCTCAGCATGTCATCTCCAGGTCTGTGTGGTTCAAAAACAAGACCAGCAGACGAAGATGGTCTCAAAGCTTTATTTGCTGAACACAGCCGAAAGGCAGAACAAGGTTTGTAAGCGGGTCAAAGTCAGCACTGAGAGCAACTGCCTTTCTGTGCTATTTATCCATTTAGTCCTGATTAACCATCACCCGGCATCTGAAACTGCCCCCCCCTCAGCTGTTCACTGGGGTTTTCATAATTCCTGCCTTTATGCGGCTTTCCGGTGCTCTGGGACGTCATCACAAGTCGACATGCCATGTCGGGAGCTGGAAGCTTCTCCAACTTTGCTGACAGGGTCCCGATGCCTCGCCGTCAGCCTCTCAATGCCGGCCATTTGTCTGCTGCCTGAATTGGCCATCCACCACTATCCCAGCTCCATTACAGGTAGCTTCTGTTGCTGCATCTCCCAGTCTCTTCCCCCCCCCCGCCGCCATGTGTGTCAAGTCCCGGCCAGGGCTCGACAGGCGGCTCCCCTCTACAAGGGATCCATCTGTAAGGGAGAAAGCAGAAGTGTTAGTGTTGTCGGTTGCATAACCTGGTCCCCCTGGCTTGTTTGGATATTTGTGGTGAAATCGCCTTAGTAGCTGTGCGGCGTGGATGTCTGGCACTGCCACCCAAGTAGCACTGGTGAATGGGTACCCCTTCCATTGCACTAGGTATTGGACCTTGCCCCTATGCAGTCTGGAGTCAATATTCTGCCTATTTTGTAGTGGTCCGTATGTACTGGACCCAGAGGATTAAGGGGGTCCCTGATCCATTCAGTTGCTACGGGTTTCAAAAGCTACTGTGGAAGACAGTATGTATTCTACCCAGTAGTGGTGGCAGCTTTAGGGCAACTGTTACGGGGTTGATCACTCAGGTTATTGTGAACGGTCCCAAATACTTTGGCTCCAGTTTTCTACTGGATATTCTGAGTTTCAGGTATTTTGTGGACAGGAAAACCTGATCCCTCACCTGGAAAGGCTTATGATCTGCCCTTCTCTTATCTGACTGCAATTTATATTCTTCTGCAGCCCTCCATAAGGCTGCCTTCACCTGAGGCCACACCATGCAAACCTTTTCCCCCCACCCTGTTGGGGTCTTTGTGGTTTGAGGTTCTGGTTCTAGTTCTGGGATCGCCAGAAATTCTATACCATACAACACCCAGAAAGGTGACAGGCCTGTGCTGTGGTGCACCATGTTGTTATAAGCCACCTCCGTGAACGGTAGGA